ATGAACCAATTCAAAAGCCGTGAACTGATGTCAGTTTGCCAATAGAGGAGAATATTGAAGTAGAAGTCATGAATTAACAAAATCCTCCACAGTTGCGTTAACTGGCTCCGGCCAGTACCGCCAAACCCCGGCCTTACTATAGAAACTAGACAAATCAAGAGTATGCATCTATTGAGCAGCCTAAAGTAGTAAGCAAAACGGACAAAAATCTGAAAGTGCAGATGCATTGACGTCTAAACAAAAATACAATAAATAGGGAAAAATGTCACGACTGCATGCCGACAAATACGTGGTTATATACGAGTCTTCAAGCAAAAGCCTGATTAGCTATCTCCGTCGTATGTCTCGGCTTCGATATGAAATAGGGATATTTTGCCACGATTGGACCGGTCGTTTCAGTGATTACCTCCTTGCTTGACTTCTTCTAGCAATGAGACTTTACGTGCGTAACCTTTACCTAATTCGTTAGTACATGTATGTATTAAAATTTTTAATACGTTCTCTGTGGAAATCAAGTGTTCCGGTATCATTGAAGAACAGACCTACAGCTAAGGCAATAATTCTGTAAATAAATCTTGTAAGGTTCGATTATATCTCCAGGTGAATTTCCGTGCACTCGGTTGAGGATATAGGGTATTTTAAGACTTTTTGGTGTATGTTTAAGCACAATAAATTACCTTCAAATTGACCCAATTATGAAAAAATCATGGCATCGGTGGGACTCGAACTCCCATCAGCCAGGATGATTTTGGTATAACCGACGCTCTACCAATTAATCTACGAAGGCACGCCGAGAAACGTGAACTTAATCATACTTGGGTCAACTTACCCACCCAGTCTACTGCACGTATGGAATCCACCAAGCATTAGGTAAACTTTATTTATTTTCTGCGAAAATTTTTTTTTAGACTGCAAACTTATCCGCACGTTGTCTGAAGGTTTTGAAACAGTTCACGCAAACTTTTGGCAATGATAGTACGCGATAACAAGACAATTATCGAAAGATGAACTTAAATAAGAGATGAGAATTAGTTGACATGTGGTTTGAGTGAAATTTTTTGTTGTTGAAATGAACAACACCCAGATTCGTTCCACGAGCATCAGAAATGTATTAGCTTTCCACTTAAATGGGCTAGTAGGAATAATTTCAAGGGAATAATGTGTAAACCTTAATGACCTCCAATACTATGAACTTATGACTGGTTTCATGCCTGTGAGTAGCAACTTACAATAGTTCGTCGCCTCGTCGTACGGCCAGTTGACGTCCCTGTCTGCGCGATCCAAGCACGATTCCAGTTTGGCCTGTGTAGTTGCAAGTGCAGCTTAGGCATGGGACGCGATGCAATACTCCAGATTGTTCATTCGGCGTATGCCGGTCTTTTATTTTCATCACCCTGCTGCGGATGATAGCTTTGGGCCGGTGTGCGATTCCATCATGTAGTCCCGCAGCGATGCCCTCTGCGAACTATAAATACCCTTCAACCTGTACATGTATCACCCTTGTCTCCGACTCGCTTATGATAACCTATAATCAAGGATTTTCGACAGGATCCGAAACGTCAGGAAAATAAAACTCTCGTTCCAGTGATCGCATCTTCTTCTTATGAACTGCTTCCTTAAACTCACATATTCTCCTCTTTTGGCAACCTTCGTTGTCATCGAACGGGACCAGGTGGTCACGAGCAAAGGCCATCTCAACAGCGTTTTCCAGGGCATACAATTTAAGATGGAGGGCAAAGAAAATAACCGGCTAGCCTTCCTTGATATTCTCGTATGCCGCAAATATTGTGGTTGCCTTAATATCAAAAGTGTTCAGGAAAGTGGTAAATACGATACCAGTACTGAAATTCAGCAGTAAACAACCAATCAGCCAATGGCGCGGTTGCGTTAGGACGCTTTATAGGCGTGTTGAGACGCACTGCAGTGAACCGGAAGGCAAATTTGCCAACGGATGTTGAAGGAAAATGGCCAATCGCGCAACTTCTTTAACCTGTAAATGCATAAACGAGACGAACCACAAAACCGTATCAACCCCAAATTTTGGAGTACAATTCCGTCCACCAAAAACGTTTCGCAAGTCGTCGGCCGCCTCTTCGAACTTCTTAGAGTTGGAGTTGCACGCAAGCCGGAACCAACCATAAGTCCTCAGATAATGAAACCAAAAGACGTTTTACCACGGCGCGAAACATCTGGGGTCATCTCTAGGATCTGGTGAAGTTGCGGACAAAGCAACTATGTCGAATAAACTGGAAGACTTCTTAAGACGTGAGTGGCCGTACGCGCGGCAGCAGTGCGGAGAACTGAGGCTAATTCTCAAATTGCCGCTCATTCGACGTAATCTGGCCGCACATTCAAATTTGATGACGCCAAAATCCTCGCGAGAGGTGCCAATCC